CCCCAAAACCCCAAAACCCCAAAACCCCAAAACCCCAAAACCCCAAAACCCCAATAAATTCTCAAAACTGAACTGTATAATAATATTACAATGAGAGATAAGTATGAAGAAGAAAAGCAAGATCTTGTCAAAAACTTTAAAGAGGCTTTTGATAAGAATCCTGAGCGTAAGAACTCTTAACCAAGCAAGAACCTACCAGAATAATGAGTGATTTGAGACTATCTGGGATATATTTTTATCAAATTTGGCCATATTTAGCATAACCATTTTGCTTTTCAAACAATTGATTCCATTCTCATTGAATGGCTGTTTGTGAAAAAGTTAAAATTTTAGAAAACTAAGTGAAACATTCTAAAGTTTACCTTTAGAAATCAAGAAACTGGGTCAAAAATTTACCTAATTATTGGAAATATCAATTCCCATTTTAATCTGGTGTATACAACTAGATAAAGTTTTAAGTTACTAAATAATCATTTAGTGTCCTTATTTGTGCTATAATTGGAGATAGTAGGAAATATAAGAATCGAAATAGTATTATTACTTTATTGAGGGTACTAAATAAGATTCTTCATATTTTTCTAGGTTTACTAAATTTATATTAAAAATAGCTCTAAAAATTATATTTATACACTTTACGTTCAGATTTTTACTTCAAACAAAGATATTAATTTCCATGCCCACCATTCTATCTTAAAAATTAATAACACCCACTCAAAAAATCCGATTCTAGAAAAACCCAATTTTTCAAAATTCTAATATAGAAGTGCTCAAATAGCAATAAAATTCTCCACCTCTACTCTCTTTTGCCTGAAAGATCCTTCTAAGAGTCAAAATATATCCTGTTTTGCTATAATTTTCTCATAAATTGACTCTAAACTCCTCACCTTATGCTCCAAATGTTACAGACCTTTCTGGTTTACTCAAAATGCCCAATCTGGAAATTCTACTACGATCTTAAGTAATTTTTGCTTCAACCCGATTCCTACTCATTTGCAAATGCATTTACTATTTTGGAGTATTTAAGAAATTGACAATGAGAATAGAAAAGCCAAAGAAGATTAAGAATAATCTTGAGGAGAAAATGGTCATAGAGAAACGATTCCAAATTGAAGAGAAAATAGGTAGTGGTACTCATGGCCATGTCTTCAGTGGAGTAGATCTCAAAAATTGAGCATATATTGCAATGAAAATTGTCCCTCAAGAAAAACTGTCCACTTCAAGGTTCAATCAGGAAATCTTTGTAAGTCAAGTGATTCTACTACAAGACTCATTGATATAGATAGTAAAATAAACTTTCTTCAGGAGCAAAGAGTAAAGGATTTCCCAAGTTCATACAGAAGGGACAGTGCGATAACAACAACTACTATATCATGCAGAAATTAGGGAACTCACTAAAATTGATGTCTAAACTGATCAACAAGTTCACTTTAGAAAATATTTTGATGCTATCTTTGCAGCTAATAGGCCGGCTGAGGGTGATTCATTCTTTTAATTATATCCACAGAGATATCAAACCAGCTAACCTGATGTTTGGTACTGGCAAGGATTGGAATACACTATATGTCATAGACTTTGGGTTGTCTACAAAAGTCAGCAGTTTTAGAGACGCTGAAATACCAAAGCATATTTTTCAGCCGGAATATGTCTATCTCTCTGGGACTCCAAACTATGCGAGCATTAACCAGCACTGAGGGTGGGAAGAGTGATTCAAAAAGGATGATATAGAAGGAGCAATGTACATGCTAATTCATCTTCTCAAAGGTAAGCCTTGGTGGATACTCATAATTACACATTTATAGGATCACTCCCATGGGAAAACATCAAAGAAGATGACAGATTTTATACGTATTTTTGGAACATTTAGCTTTAGGATGATGAAAAAGAAACAGCTTGTCACCACAGAAGAACTTTGTGGGGAAATGCCAGAACGTCTTATTGAGATGGTAGAATATATTCGGAGTATGCGAATTTATGATCAGCCCGATTATTCTTTTATTAGCGACATTATTTTGAAAACTGCTTGTGAAGAAAATATCACCCTCCATTTGGTAGAATCTGTAAGCTTTAGAATAACCCTTTAGTTTCATAAATTTAAATGGGATTTCAAATAAAGGCAAAGAGAAATTCCACACCAATGTTGTGAAAGAGCCAATATGAGGTTATCTCGGAGCTGAAAGGCCGGTCTCTCAACCTCCTATTCAAAAATTTAAATTTGTTTCTAATTATGAAGCAAATAAGGCTCCTCTAAAGCTAGAGGTAAAACTAATCTCTTATACCATAGCGAAATAAGGCCAGGGAAAAGTTGTTGGCTAATATTAAAAGCAAAAGTAAAATCTCTACTGAAAAAGAGCCTGGTATTAATCCTCCTAAAAAGATTAAACAATCGAAGAAATTTCACAGATCCATCACCACTAAAAGGATCCGTCACATTAAGTTCAACTGGTGAGCTGATGAAATCATGGAGGCGATGCATGAAAATCGTCTGTGTGTAAAAGACAGCTATATGAAGAAGAGTAAATCTCCGTCTTGCAATGTCAAACGTACTTATTTCCTCTAAAACTTATAGCTAATTACTTTGAGCTGAAGAGCCTTATGTCTGCAAAACCAGAGAACAACAAATATGAAGGTAAGTATCCTTAACATTGTCCCGTGTTGAGGTTTCTCTAGACCAGAAGTCTGAAGATCAGCCTAAAGTTGACCTTAAGGTCACTCCAACTTTCTTGGAATTTGAAGCTCTTGATAAAGATGAGTTCTCAAGCGACCAAAGGTAAGTTAAAAGGCTAAATTTATAGAGGGATTTCTTTAAGGAAGCCAAAGATGTTTGGCCATAATCATAATAATTTGAAAAGAGTGTGAGCCAGGATGGACTATGAACACCAAGCTGCTCGGATACAAAGCATGATGCAATAGGTGATGTGTATATATCATATAATATCTCTATCTCTTAAGATCAGTAAAAATTAAATAGACTCTCCTTGTCATAATTGTAACCCTTTACCTTTCCTTCACCTGAGCCTCACGATTCATTCCCATATATTAGCACAAAGTATCACTTTTCGGCTATCCTGTTCTTTATTCTTTAATACTGATTCCTTATAAATATTCACCAATAGATCCCAAATTATTTAATATTGTATTTCAATAGAAAATGACTCCTTTGGGGTTTTGGGGTTTTGGGGTTTTGGGGTTTTGGGG